TGTATTTAACAAACGTGTAGTATTTAAAGATCTGTTATAAAAATACAAAATTTTGTTACGTGATTGTTGCCACAAATGAGTTTGGGCTGTTGGAGACAATGACTGCCAACATTCTATGGAAACTCTAAGTTTATTTTGCAATTTTCAATAAATATTAGAATTTTTCTTTATATTTTTTTTCTAAAAAAAAGTACAAACTTACAATGTATGCATAGAATACAAATAAAAATTATATATATTTTTTTGAAAACAAATTTTGTTTCTTCTTAAAGCAAAGTCTTTTTTTTATTTGACTCGTATTGTTCTTGAACAAAACATGTTGCTTCGTAAAAAATTGGGTAGAAGCAGGCATAGAGGAACAATAAGAACAGAAAAAAATGAAGTATGCATTTTATATTGAAAGTTTAACTGTATATGCACACGTACATACATATGTTTTATATAAATTTTACAACAATTCATACAAATATTTACAATGTCATGTCAATATTTGAATTTCAACAAATCAAATTGCAACGTTTGTCAAAAACACACTTTGGCAACAATAATAATAATAACAACGACAACAACAACAAGAATAACTCCTTCTTATCTTATTTCTCTGATTGTAGTTGTTACCACAATACTACAATAATGATTGACATGTATAAACATTATCACACATACTTACTTGTTTGTATACAACTAAACAAGTGAAATATTAACATATTTACAGGACTTATAAGTAGATCAGAATAGGCTCTATACAGTTAAAAATATTCTTACGGAAAACATATACTAAATTCTCAAACTACAGCACATTTTCTCATAAAGCGAATAAAATACCGATCGATATAGGCCCAAAGAAATTTGAATTGAATTTGTTGAAAATTGTAAAGAAACAGCTTACTTCAACAACACCTAAGAAACAATATATCTGAATAGATTTAGTTCTGGAAATACAAGTTGTAGGGTATTCTTAACATGTGTCGTTATAAATTTACTCTCGCATATAGTGGTGGTATTCTTGCTGCTTATTTAAATATATTCACAACGATGATGATGATGATGAGAATGATTTTTCAGAAAATTTGATATGCCAAAGAATACGAAGAAGAATATTTCAATAATAACGAACTGAACACAGAATAAAAAATATCCAAGAATTGTGGTGGGGAACGAACGTATCGATAAAAGTTTGTAAGAGAAAAAGTGGTTTTTTCCTTGTACGAAAGCCTAAGAGGCATTGTTTAAATATGCATGGTTTAAGCAAACAAACGTTATAAAACATCAACAACAGCACTTCACTAGAAGCAGCAACATTTACCACAACAGCAACAACAAAACATAACAAGTAGTAGTAGTAACAAGCTAAAAGGTAAATAAATGCAAGAAATCGAATTCAAATGTGAATTAAATGAATGTAGAAAATAAAACAAGAACAAAAAAAAAATAATAAAATCTAGAAATATTTGTTTAGTCAAAATCTAAGACATGTCTGTATAATGTTGTTGTTGCATCTAGTTGCTTTTGTTGCTTTGTTTTTGTGTAGCAACAAAATACAGCAACAACAAGCATACATTTGTAAAATCTAACGTGATGTTGTTACAACTTAAGCCGCTGCATTTTAATTTTATTTTATTTATTTAACATTTTTTTCCAAACAAGTTAAAGAATTTATAAAAGAAATGTTGCACGAGTATGTATGTATGTATGTATGTATGTATGTATGTATGTATGTATGTATGTATGTATGTTTCTACGTTTTATATGTTACTGTTGCTGCTGTTGATGTTGTACGTTTTGATGTGTTTACATGTGATTTCTAATGTTGTTTGCAAAACTATTGCCTCCACAACACAGAGCAGCATACCAGAGTAAATATTGCTGGCTGCTATTGCGGCTTGTGCGGAAAGTGGTTGAAAAAAGTTTAAATTTTAGAGTGTTTTGTTTGTATTTGTGTTATGAAGTAATGCCACCACCCAGCTATAGTTTTACCACCATTATTTTCACCATTCAACCAAACCTAACTGAAGCGCATTCATCCAACCATCCATCTATCTATCGATTTGAAGATCCTTTTTAGAATATTAAATAAAACAAGCAAACTTATATTGGCGTAGGGTTTAAGTAATTTCTTTAGAATTGAATACATTCTTTATACTTTGGACTCGGGCCAGTTCGTTATTTAGACGTAAAAGGATGTGTAGAATACATATTGCTGGTTGATATAAGATTCTCCTAATGTTCGATTCTAAAAATGACTATTTTTTTATATTAAAAAAAAAATTAAACATTAAGAAATCAACATTTTCCTCAGCCAAAATTCACTTATATGCACACGGAGAAAATGTTGCAGCAATCATTATAAGCTACATATTTACAAGAATATCAACTATATTATGTTCACTACAAACATATCTCTTGTGAACTTATCGATAATATTGTAAAATTTTTGTAACCATAACATTTATTTCTCTCCATGTATTCGTAGTGATGTTGGTTGGTAGTGATGCTCTGATGTGTTTGTTATATGTATGTATATGCTGCGATTTGCATAAACCATTAGGGAGCCTTTGTGACTGCAGCAATAACAGCAGCATTAGCAACACTTTTAACTAACAATGTAACGTGAAGGCTGTGATGTTGTTGTTAACGATGAAGATGACAGCAATATTGTTGTTGTTGTTGATGATGATTTTTAGTTTGTGTACGAATATTTTTTGATACTTAAAATGTGCATTTCTTTAGAGAATTGTGCTGTAAGGCATTCTCATCATCACCATAACAGCAGTAATTCTTTTCTTTTTATTTTTCTCTGTCAATTTTTTGTTTTTCTTCCTTTTAACTGTTAAATGATTTCAATATTTGTTGCCATCATTTTTTATGCGTTTTTATTGATATTTTGGCATTGTGTATCGAAATGAAATTGTATACGCGAAATCTATCGAACAACTGTAAAACAAACAACAAATAAATGCTTCAGGTTGTGGCACAAAGACACAAAATTGCTTCTCATTCGTATGTTATGTTGTTATTTGCATTTAAGCAAATTCAATTTTAGCTCAAGTGGAAGTCAATTGACAAGAAAACAAAACATCAGTTACAAATGTTGCAACAATAGATATAAAACATAAGTATTATATCGTTGTATTATTCATTTTTCTTGTTGTTTAATATGATTGTGTTAGTTATACCCTACACCACTTTAGACTCAGAATCACTTTCTGAGTCGATTTAACGATGTCTGTCCGTCCGTCCGTCCATCCGTGTGTCCATGTAAACGTTGTTATCAAAGTACAGGCCACAATTTTCAAGATAATTTGTTGAAATTTGGAATACGCGTTTGTTTTGATCCAAGGACGATGCCTATTGACAATCGGTCCATTATTTCACCTAGCCCCATATAACTGAACCCCCCGAAAAGGGCTTTTGTGCTCATAATTATGTATTATATATCTCGATGAAAGTTCGCACAAGTAAGTTTTATACAAGCCTTGCAGATCTTGCCGAATTTCGAAATGATCGGACTTCATTTGACCCTAGCCCCTTATACAAAGCCCCCTTCAGAAAGTGACTTGAATATCCGAAATTCACTTATTAACACTGTTATTGCAATGACATTTACCACAGATAAATATTATATAAATACAAATCTATCCAGCCCATTTTATCGGGATCGGTCCACATTTGCTCCTATCCCCCATATAAAGCCTCTTTTAGATAAAATAAATTGCTTAAATAAATCGGAATCAAGGTTATATTCAAGATAAATTGTTTGTTATGAAAAATAAATCCCATTTAATATTCATATCTGGTGTAGGGTATCATATGGTCGGCCACGCCCGACTATACTTTTTTACTTGTTTTAAATTGTGATTATTTTTTTTAAGTTTATGTTGTGCTGCAATCGTGACAGGAAAAACCCTTTTAACTAAAGGGTTTTTTATCCATACAAATTTTGATTTATAAACCGTTTATAATATACAAATTTGTTTGGCCCTTAATGTTTATTGACTCAATTAAAGTCTTCTTCAAATATTTGCGAATTTTTGATATAATTTTACATGTGTACTTTAGTTGTACCTGGCCAATTATCCCTCCCCCTCTTTACTAAGTTAATAATTATCTAAATAATCAAATCTAAGACGTGTCTTCATTTAATGTGTTTTTTTCCTCTGATTCCCATAAAAATGAAATGAACTCTTCTTCTGCTTCTCCTTCTTTGCTGACATAATAAAATCAAGTATGTATTTTGAACATGTATGAATATAAAAATAAAATTTGTTAAAGATTTTGGTGACACGATATAAACATGAACAATTTTTAGTGTGTTCATTATTAGCCAACATGCACATACATATATAGAGGTATTCTGCTTATGGCAATGTCTGTCTATCTGTGGACAAATAATAATTTTCGTTTTTTTTTGCAATTCAAATGTGAGTGACTTTGTCACTAAAATAGATTTCAATTTAAAGATAGACATTGTTTTAATAACAACAAAATGTATTAGAACAAAACAAAGCCCACGATATTGACTAAAAAAAACAATGAACAAATAACCCTAATAAAAACTTGACCATTAAAGTAAGAAATAAAAATCTCCTGACAAACAATAAAATCATCCTACAACAACATGTTTCAAATGAATTTGTATGCAACAAGGTTGTTTTCATATTTTGTAGACCTTTATATGAAGCACTTTTAAATAATTAAAGATTGATTCTTTATATCTATTGATATGAAAGAGTTTTTGTTTTTTTATTTCTTTTTCCATAGAAATACAATTTGCAAAAGATTAAAAATGTTCTTAATTAATGACATAATTTATTAAGTGTTTAATTATATTTCATTGGATACTTGAATCGGGTGTTCTTATCATTTCTAAGATTTTCTGTTACTGCTGTCATTGTGTTTACAAAAAAAAAAAAAAAAAAAAAAAACTGAGAACTTTTAATGTTGCAATTTGGTATATAAATGACACATAAGACTTGTATTTCTGCAGTATATTTTTGAAATTACAACAATCACAGATCTCTAATCAAAATGAAAGCTGGTAACTGTAATCTTATATCAAATATTTTGTAGACTTTTCTGGACTAGTTTTTTTTTGCTTAGTTATGTTTTTGGGGCTCTTGACTTTCGCCTTCTCTAGCGCTGTGATCGCCAATGTCGATTGTGATCCTGATGGTAATGGGAAACCTGTTTGTGTTGCAGAAAATGTTGGTCGACCCTATCGTAACTTCTGGGATCCTACCGCCTACTGGTTGTGTAGAAAAGCGGGTGCCGAAGCTGAATTAGTACGTTGCCCAAGTGGTAAACTATTTGATGCAGCTAGAGGTAAATGTATACCAGCAAATCAATGGATATGGACATATCCCTGTCCCGATAAGCAATACATAGTATTTGTTTAAATGATTTTTGAACTTATTTATTAACACATACTGAAAGTTGTAAAATATCTATTGAAGTAAAATTGTTTTCAAATAAATTTTCAAAACAAACTGGAACTGGAACAACACCATTTCTGTAAAGTTTTAGTATTTATACATATGTATGTATGTATATTATTAGCACGACTTTTATTATTTTATTATCAGTATTTGTACTTAAATTTTGTTGAATATTAGTCATAAATATTATAATCAAAATTGACGCAAAGAAAATCACGAACTAATTTAACAAATTCCAAAGAAAAACAATACTTTTCTTTCGTATATAAATTGTATTGAAACTTGTTAACAAATTCATAATAAAAATGAAAACCGGTAAGTAAAATAAAATTTTTCCAATAGAAATTATATTAAATATCTAATTTTTCTATTTTCAGTTTTATTTCTTTCCCTTTTGGCTTTAGCCTTCATTAACGTCCTTACTACAAATGATATTTGCAGATATTGTCCCGATTGCCCCCTAGACGATCCTGGTATGTATATGAACACAACTCATTGGACATTTTAATCTCAGCGATATTCAAATTTAATCATCAAAAAATTTCGATTTAGTTCTCAATAGTTTATAATATAAAGACGATTTTTTTTGTTTGTTTAAATTTTTATAAAATGTTTTAAAAAAAACCATTATTCCACTTAGTATTTTTGTGTCTTTAATAGAATGCGGTAACAACAGGCCAATGAATTGTACTGGCATTGATCCCAATTTAAAAATACGTAATCATTGGCAACCTGATCTCTATTGGATTTGTGTTGAACCTAATAGACCTGCTGAAGCTAGACGTTGTGGAAATGATCTCTTTTTTCAGGAAGAATTGGGAGAATGCGTTTTTAGATTTGATTATAAATATTCTTGTCCTTGTCATAAATGTGGTTGTTTGAATGAAACAACTGTTGCACCAGTTTAGCCAATAATTTTTTGAAAAATAGGAAATGGATAGGAAATGCGGAAAACACTTTAAATCTTGAGAAAAATAATGTATTTTAAAAACAAATTAAAAAAAAAATGATATGTACAAACAAAACTGCAGTTTTATTTTCTAATATAATTAAAGTTTTTGTTGGATTTCCTGGAATGCCTTTTTCAACCCTTTACCATTGCAGAATGGTACATATAAGTTTGTCACTCCTTTTTTAATTTCCTTTGCTTTCGAGAAATTATAAACAATGAAAATCATTCTGACGTTTATATTAATGTCAGTATATGGCTTGGTTTTGAATAAATAAGATTTTTAAATTATCTATAATTTTTGGAACAAGTGGGAGAATGCGTGTATTTTATTTGTGCGTGTGACCTAACCAACTGACACACCATTAGTTAGTGGTCTGGCGTATTTCGTTTAATATTTATTTAATCTGAAACCAAATTCATTCATATATTCAATATACAAAAAAAAAAAAAATAATAAAAACAAGTAAGAAACTATAGTCGGGCTTGGCCGACTATATGATACCCTACACCAGTTATGAATATTAAATGTGATTTATTTTTTGTAATAAAGCATTTATCTTGAATATTACCTTGATTCCGATTTATTATTTATATGGGGGATAGGAGCAAATGTGGACCGATCCCGATAAAATGGGCTGAATAGATTTGTATTTATATAATATATAATATTTGTCTGTGCTAAATTTCATTGCAATAATGAATTGCGGATATTCAAGTCACTTTCTGAAGGGGGCTTTGTGTGGGGGCTAGGGTCAAATGAAGTCCGATCATTTCGAAATTCGGCAAGGTCATTAAGGCTTGTATAAAACTTAGTTGTGTGAACTTTCATCGAGATACATTTATATTATACATAATTATGAGCCCAAAAGCCTTTTCGGGGGGTTCAGTTGTATGGGGGCTAGGTGAAATAATGGACCGATTTTAATCATTTTCAATAGGCTTCGTCCTGGAGTCAAAGCAAACGTGTATTGACTCAGAAAGTGATTCTGAGTTGATCGGTATACTTTATACTAATATTTTAATGTGTTACAAACATCTGCACAAACGCATAATACCCTTCCCACTATAGTGGTGTAGGGTATAAAAAGACAACTTATAAAAAATTACTGCAATGTTTTTGTTGACATGTGAACATGTTGACTTTTAAAATCTCATCATGTAAATATTTGTACATTTTTCAGTGAGTCTTTTTTTTTATTTTGTCTCAATAGACTCAGCGTATTAGAGGCATCGGAAAACAAATGAAAAATCATTAAATTATGTGTGATATTTTTTTCGATCTTTTATTCTTTGTGTATTCAATCATTCATCATTTCATTTCTTAAGCTTTGAAATTTTATAAAACTATTGTAGAACCTCCCACGTAGCAAAGTGGTTTTTCAAAGGTGATAAATGATAATAAGTCATGTCTTTTTTAAATTTCTATACTGATTTTGTAAAAATAGAAAGATGAAAACAAATATTTCTAATTCATATTTTTTTTTAAATTCTTGGTGTCGTGTACGATTAAGAGAATGTGTAAAAAAAGCAAAAAAAAATATATATATATTTTTAATGCCTTAAAACAAATGGCCGGAACTTTACAGTGTCATTTCTTATTAAAAATAATTTCTAAATTTTATTTAATTTCTTATGTTTTTTGAGTTGAGTTGCTTTTTATGTGTTCATTTCTAATACTTATGGCAGACATTTACTTTTACACATAATAAGTTATTAAAGTCTTTTGCCACAGATTTCAGTTCATATGTCTGCTTTCGATTTAAATCGTTGTACTTAAACTTATACAGATACGAGTACATAAGGAAAAGAGCCAAATATTTGGGCAAGTTTCCAAAAGTAAATTGCATATTGTTGACTGAAATATGCATGTAAATATACATGTATGTATGTCTATTGTAAGTGCATATTTATGTTTGTTTCACAGGAAAAAAAACCTCTCAACTTTACAAAGAAGCCAATGAACGAAAGTTTTGTGAACCTTAACAAATAGTTCATCATTATCATTTTGTATTACTCACTACATTAAAATTACGGCATAATATTTAAATCAAACTAATAGTTGAAACTTTTATATTTAAAATAATACTTTTTAAAGAGAATATTTTGATGTTTATATTCAGCTATCTGGGAAAACATGTAACCCTGAGAAAAGTTAGAACAATTTTGAAATTCTTTATTATAGTTTAACAAATTTGGCAACACTTTACTTTATTTTAAAATTTAAATATTTGATTTTAAGAATGAATTTGAAAATCTTTTACTAGAGATATTTTCATGAATGAATGAACGTCATGAGACGGCAACAATAACAACAACATAATCTAAAATACTTATTTGATGTTGTTGCATATTCTTCAAATGTTGTTTGCTAACAAACTGTTGATGAGGACGATGAGTTTTAATGATAAAAAACTGAAATAAAAAAACAAATAAGAATTTATAGTCTGGCATGGCCGACCATATAATACACTACTTTAGTGATTATTGAAATATTATAAATTTAAATATTTGATTTTAAGAATGAATTTGAAAATCTTTTACTAGAGATATTTTCATGAATGAATGAACGTCATGAGACGGCAACAATAACAACAACATAATCTAAAATACTTATTTGATGTTGTTGCATATTCTTCAAATGTTGTTTGCTAACAAACTGTTGATGAGGACGATGAGTTTTAATGATAAAAAACTGAAATAAAAAAACAAATAAGAATTTATAGTCTGGCATGGCCGACCATATAATACACTACTTTAGTGATTATATTACAAATTTTGATTATTTTTTTAATAATAAAATATTTAATTTTATTTTTACCTTAATTCAGAAATATTTTTAAAATTATTTAAATAAAAAGAGATTTTCTAAAAGACGGGTTAGTTATATGGGGGAAGGGGGTTAATAAGGTCCTATCCTTATATATTAAAGTTATTTATGCAGAATATCATCTTGATGTTACTGTTTATAAGTGATTTTTGACCAAAAAGTCATTTTCTGAAGGGGACTTTGTATGGGGGATAGGGTCAAATGGGCCCCGATCATTATGAAGATCAGTTTTGCCGGTTTTTGAATTGACACAAGAACATTTAACATAATTATGAGCTCAAAAGCCCTATTCGGGGGGTACGGTTGTATGGGCGCTTTACGAAATAATGGATCAATTTAACCATTTTTGCAATAGGCTTCGTCCTTGGGTCAAATTTCATAAAATTATCTTGAAAATTGAGACATTTAAAGTGCGCACATGGTTTACATGGACACACAGACGGACAGACAGACAGACAGACAGACAGACAGACGGACAGACGGACTGACATAACTAAATCGACTCAGAAAGTGATTCACGGGTCAAATTTCATAAAATTATCATTATGAAAATTAAGACATGTAGAGTGCGCACAAGGTTTACATGGATACACAGACAGACATACAGACAAACAAACAGACAGACATAACTAAATCGACTCAGAATGTGATTCTGAGCCGATTGGTAAAATTTTCGGTGGGTGTAGGATCAATATTTTTGGGTGTTACAAACATCAGCACAAAATCATAATACCACCCTGGTGTAGAGTATAATTACATAAAAATTAAATGCAAAAGTTTATTTTTTTATATAAAAAACCAAATGTATCTCTAAATAAATCTAAACACACACACACACATGTACTATGTGTTTTAGATATTTTCATTAAGATTGCGATGTTTTTTTGTTGTCGCCGTAGTGAATGAAATTAACACAAGCGTAAAGTGTGTGCAACTGAGGCAAAACCACGCACACATGCATGTACGTATGAGACATAAAATGCTTGTTGTTGTTAATTATTTCAAATAAAAAGAAATATTTAGCAAATTGGATGCAAAAAAAAATATAAAAACACATCATCTACGCACATAATCTTGTTTCTCTAATTTGTTTATTAGTTCTGTTAAATACATTTTTATATAATTTTATATATAATTTTATTTCTTATGACAAATTCCCATTAGTAGCTTTATTTTTTTGACAAACTTATTGATTGTATGCGACAGTAAACCAGAGTAAGCATTTTAGAGCAGTAAAGATTTAATATTTTTAATTTATATTTTTCTAAATATTTTATGAAAGGGTTTTTTGTTGCTGTTGTTGCTTTTTTTTCGTATTTTTATTGTCACATCATGACACATGCTATTATTTTCAATTTAGCTGCTGTTTTATATCTTTTCTTTTTACTACAATTTTTTTTATTGTAATAAACATTTATTTTCATTTAACACTCTTTTTTTTTCAAAGTTACAAATATGTACTTATTTTTAAAGCGGCTTAAGGCCTTTTGCATTTTGTGCAGAAGACTTTTTTTATATAAAAATAAAATAAAGAAAATTATTTTCTTGTTGTTTTATCAGTAAATTTCTAGAGAAAATTCTCGGAATAGAATCTTAAGATTGATCTTGTTTCAGAGTTTTTTTTTGTTGCTGGTACGCTGTTGTCATTTTTAATCTACTTTTTTTCCTCTTTCTCTCTTTTTTTTTTTGTAATTTTTTATTACGTATTTTTTTTTTCTGTTTTAATTTTTATTTGTGTTTTTTTTTACACATTTGTAATAAACTTTTACCTTTTTATTTACAATGTTCGTAATAAGTACCTTTCGATTTAACCATTTTATTGTGTAAGATGACGAGTTCAGATATTTGTTTGCATGTGAAATACAGTAAAATCTAGATTATATTGAAAATTTAAAATAAAATTTTTGGCATAAAATTTAAATTCCTGGTGAAAGTGAAATTTTTACTGAAACATCAAATTATAAAAAAAAATTTAAGCAAAAAATTTAATTTTTCGTGAAAAAGTGAATTTTTAAGAAAAAATTAATTTGAAAATTTAATTTTTATTGGAATTTTTTTTTTAAATTTCCTAAATTTTTAAAAATTAAATTAAAAATTTATTTAATAACAAAATTTTTTGGAAATTTTGAAAAAATTAAAAAATAATATTTTTTTTGAAAACCTTTTTATCAACATTCTACTGTATTTAATGTTACCAACACAAAATTGCCTTAGGCCTCTACTGTGTACATTATAA